CTCGACTAAACCCTACACCGTGAAACGCCAAACCTGAAGGTGACCCTAAACCCTAAACCCTAAACCCTAAACCCTAAACCGAGGGGAACCTATCCGAAAAGGGAGCACGCCTAGGATGTTTTAGGGCTTGAGGGGTCTTAGAGTTCAGGGTTCTACCCTACTTTCGAGACTAGACCCTGGAAACAGCGTAAACAACTTGTCTAGGTATAAGTAGCTACAACAGGAACACAGAATCAAAACATGTGTGAAAGTATAGTACTCCAAAACCCTAAACCCTAAACCCTAAACCCTAAACCCTAAACCCTAAACCCTAAACCCTAAACCCTAAACCCGATGTAGTTTAGGGTTCAGAGGCTTCCAGGGTTAAAGGCTGGAGAGCTCCGTCCCCTACATTACGGGTCACTTCAGGGATGTCAAGAACTTAGGGTTTCAGGTTTAGGGTCTAAACCCTAAACCCTAAACCCTAAACCCTAAACCCTAAACCCTAAACCCTAAACCCTAAACCCTAAACCCTAAACCCTAAACCCTAAACCCTAAACCCTAAACCCTAAACCCTAAACGGGTTTCGGGTTGAGGGGTTCAGCTTGCAGGCTTTAGGTTTCAAGGTTTGGGTTACTATGGGATCACAGTTCAGAGAACCGACCTTGAAAGGACCAGGCACTTTGGCAAAAGATGCTGGGAGGTCGCGCGAAAGGATCAGAGAGTGAGCTCTTGAGAAGAACGAACCGACAAAGCTACCTAAACCCTCAACTGTAGCTCCTGTTCTAGGAATAGCTGGACGAACCCTGTAACAACAAAGGAAAAACATGATACTAATCGGGTTCGCCTGTTAAGCATGATTCATGATGTGGCTTTATGTTTTTTTGTGAGGAAACCCGGCGTTCTTCAGCAAATCCTAGAATCGTCTTGGGGGGCAATTTGATGGTTAGCCCATGCTCGAACAATGATTAAGACAGCTAGGCGACAAAAAAGGAGGTACAAGTGTGGGAGCTGGGTGCACTGCACCCTAAACCCTGAACCCTAAACCCCTCATCAAACCCCTAAACCCTAGACCCTAGACCGTAGACCCTAACCCCAAACCCTAAACCCTAAACCCTAAACCCTAAACCCTAAACCTAAAACCCTAAACTCTGGTTGGGCTCAGCGTCCAGGATAGATCAGATCCCCTGTGAACATGCGGTTCTCGGCGGGGTAGTACCTGGATGCCAGTCCGACGAAGGCACGTGCCCCAAACTGGACCACTTTGGTTTAGGGTTTAGGTTTCATGGTTTAGGGTTTAGGGTTTAGTTGGAGGATCGTGTGTACTGAAAAGTAGGGATATAAGTAGGGCAGCTATGGTTGTAAACTTCGTCGGTGTACTTGTAATCTTACCTATATATATATATCTATATATGTACCCATGAACCTTTCACCAACCCTACTTGGAGGTTCATGGGTGCTTGTACAAAAGTAGTGCGACATCTGGGGTAGCGACAGATATCACGCGATATTCCCAGATTTAGGGTACTTGTTACCCCTACTTCTACGTGCCCATGAACCTTCAGGTAATGGTCTAATATCCTAAACCCTAAACAGCCCGTAACCCTGCGGGGCTCAGGAGGATGCCGTACCATGCTAAGCGCGTGGTTAGGGTCTTGGTTCATTGGTACCTTGGGTTACTATAGTGCAAAACGGTTGTGACTGATAACTGCTTAGGGTTTAGGGTTAGTGTGTAGGGTTCGGGGTTTAGGGTTTAGGGCACTTGTCCCCATTCCCCGTGAACCTGCACGCGAACTGCCAAGTTTCAATGAGATGGAGTCGGGCGTGTGACCAGGCGTATGCAGGACCTCCAGCGACTGAGCATCCATGGGGTTCCTCAGCAATACACAATCTAGGGTTTAGGGTTTTAGGGTTTAGGGTTGAGGGTTTAGGGTACCAGGTACCAACCACGAATAGTTTTTTCTCTTCTGCCTCCTGCGAGTCGTAACATGTAGAAATGCAGAACCGACTGACCTGCAACCCTAAACCCGAAACCCTGAACCCCAATGCGTTCCTAGGTTCTCATCATCCAGATAGATCTTTTGCCCCTCATCCAACCAGTCCTCAGCCATGGAGCCATGTTCCTGGTCGCCTTGCGCCTGGTTTTTATGGCACCTGGCGCTTAGCAGGGAATTGGGGACTCAGGGCCCCATATAATCCCTTGCTTGAAGGTTCTGGGTACTTAGTAACCCAATTATAGCTGCACTTGGAACCCAACTATAGCCCCATTAGGGTACTTCAGGGCCTTAGAAGTGGGTTGTAAACTACACTTGTAACTGGTTACCCAGCACCCTGAACCTCCTCCAAGTAAAGGGATCATGTAGGGCCCGAATTCCCCCATTCCCTGCTATACACCAGGGGTTGCCCCTGGCTTCATGGGCATCCTTGGGAACGAAATGAACCCTAAAGGGGGGGGGGGGGGGTATATACCCTCTACTACTATAATTCCTATTAAGGTATATATGGACCATAAACCCTTTTGGCGTTCATGTGTTCCCCAAATCCAGACTTGACATGCGCACGTCGTCCGAAGCGCGAGGCAGGTGCGCAAGGCTGCTATTTGACACCCCTAAACCCTAAACCCTAAAACCTAATCCCTAAACCCTATATAAATCTAAGCCCTAAACCGCCACATGCCCAGGCTCAGTGACGCAGAAGTTGGAGATTGCAGCACCGACCATGGATTGCAGCGACGTCTCCTTTCGCAGCCAGCAGGGGTGCGGGGTTTCTTTCGGGTTGATAAATAGCCGGAACCTTTAAACCCGTCAGCAGCTAGACCCAGGAGGAACCCAGGAGTGAAAAGGGTACCCTTTTTGGTGTTAAGGGGATAATCAAGGGAACCCCAACCCAAAAACAAACAAATGAGGTCCTACTCCGCGTCCTAGAGGCAGAATAGTTTTAGGTTTGGGGTCTTTGCTTGGGGTTCCAGGAACCCATACTTGGACGTGCATGCATGCTAGCGACACAGTTGTACTCAAAGATACTTCATGTGGAGCTGGCTGGAACAGTCTTGGCAAGGTCAAACTTCTGACAATTAAGACCTAAACCATAGCTAACTCTACAGCATCCGAACACCCTAAGTTTGCATTACTAAACGAGAAACCCTAAACTAAACCCTTTTTGAACCTGGAAGCTGCTTCATGCCCTAAACCCTGAGGCCCTACTTGGAGGCTCATGGTACTTATTAACCAATTATAACTGTACTTCTAACTGTACTTATTATAACCATATTGGGGCACTTAAGGGGCTTATAAGTGGGTTTTATATGTGGGTTAGAAGTACAGTTGTAATTGGTTAATAAGTACCATGAACCTCCAAGTAGGCCCTACACCCTAAACCCTAAACCCTAAACCCTAAACCAGCCGAAAATCCAGACCTCAACCCAAGCAAGGCCGGGCCCTAAAACCTATACCCCCCCTTAGAACCTTAATAAAACTAATATTGTTAATATCCTCTTGGGTTTTATATGAACAAAAAATATTCCCAAGGGGGATATAGAAATTTCCTGCTAACCCCTAAACCCTAAACCCTAAACCCTGAACCCTGAACCCTAAACCCTAAACCCTAAACTAATGGCACCCCAGGGGTCCTGCCAGTTCTGGCTGAAGTGGCGGTTCCTGGGGGCCGTTTTTGGACGGGGCCCATGGTTGGAATCGGTAAGGTTTTAGGGAGGGATGTTTCTGTTCGGGGGGGTTTAGGGTTTAGGGTTTAGGGTTTAGGGTTTAGGGTTTAGGGATATCTAGGGGCACAGGGTTTGTTTTTGCCAGCCTATCACTTTAGAGGGGCCAAAGTCGAAAATTCGGTTGTGGGGCTCAGGGCTTGTATATCTTCTGGGAGGGTTTGCGGTTTAGGGTTTAGGGTTTAGGGTTTAGGGTTTAGGGCTCTGGGAGGGTTTTGGGGTTTAGGGTTTAGAGAGTCAAGTCAAAGGCTCGAAGCTTCCTGGGACGACAGGGCCCATCAATCAAGAGCCCCGCGCCCCGCATGCTGCGCCATGTTACCGGCATGATAAGAAGCTAAGGAAGGAAAGTACCTGTTACACACATGCCCACACACACGCCCACACGAACACACGCACACACAAAGAGATAGAGATACATGTATATATATATATAGTTATACCCTTAACGGCCGATATAGTGGCTTACACTTCCTAAGCAGGGGACGCCTTGCAAGAAGGACCCGCCAAAGGAACTCCAGTGAAGTGAGAGGGTTGAAGCTTGGGATGCCTCCCCACGCCTCCCTTTATGCTACAGCCCTGAATAGGGAGGGTTTAGGGTTTAGGGTTTAGGGTTTAGGGTTTAGGGTTTAGGGTTTAGGGTTTAGGGTTTAGGGTACCTCCCATTATAATCCCTATAAAGGACTGTCAGTACAAAGGGGAACATCCCAACTTTTCAACTTCTGGGCGAAAGTTTGCGGCCACAGGCGCCTCGAACCCTGGCAAATGCCTCAGCCATGCGAGTCTCTTGCACAGGATGCAGCGCATGCATCTGCAAAAGCTTCCCCAAACTCCATGAGCGACTACCAGATGAAGCCACCAAAAACCAAAGCACCTGACCCCAAACGTGGAATCCTAAACCCTTAACCCCTACGATTGTTGGATCCCCGATCACCCTGAAAGTGTTCTAGACCGTCGAGAATAACGAAATGTGTATATAATAATCTTCCTTATAAAGGCATAGAGTGATTCATCTCATATATATATATATGTATATACACTTTTTGTGTGTTGTTTTGGGGTGGGGTCTTAAGCAAAGACTAGCACTTGAAGGCTCATGGGTACTTATAAGCAGGGTAACAAGTACCCTAACTAAGGTTATAACCATACTTACCCTACTCCAAGTGGGCCTCTGGAACTTCGCCTCTCGAAACCCGCAGGTGGGTTCAGAGGCTTCCTCTGGTGGGTTTTGGGGGTCTAAGACTACAGTTAAGAAGGGTTTAGGCTTTAGGGTTCTCGGAATATTCTGCTGTCGTTTTGTTTGTAATCAAAACCCCAAACAAGAAATGGTTCTAAGGGGAGCGTAGTGAAGGGATTCAGGGACTGACGAAAGCCGAGAGACTTCGACAACCCCCGCGCAGAGCACGCCCGCCAGGTGCACAGAAGCCATAGTTCCCCATGATGTGGTCGTAGTGGATGTGCGTGTTGACCTGAGCCGCTTTCTTTTCTTTCTTTCATGGGGCTTTTTGGGTAAGACCCCCCACGCTGTGGGCGCCTCGATTTGGGTGTCTAGCGGCTGGTACAGTAGCAGCAGCAGCAGCAGCAGCAGCAGCAGCAGCAGCAGCAGCAGCAGCAGCAGCAGCATGACGGTAGAGGAGGTAGAGGAGGTGATCCCCCATCTCTCTCGCCTCTCCTCATCTTCGTGTTGCTCCTTTGCGTCATCTTCTTCACGTTCTTCTCCTCCTCATCTCTCTCTCTCTCTCTCTCTTCAGGGTATGGGGCTTTTCGAGTTAAGGGTGTAGGCCTCTCCTTCTTCGGAACTCAGGAGCTCAGGGCCCGGCCACTTGGAACTCCTTGCCTGCCAGCTCCGGCAGGGTGCACAGGAAGTCGAAGAAGTTGGCCGTGTCGCAGCCGGTGTCGATCACCACGGCCTCTCTCTAGAAGGAACAGGAAAGCAGGGCGCGGAGGTGCACAGAAAGCTGCGTTTAGGTCTTAGGGTTTAGGGTTTATAGGGTTTAGGGTTTAGGGTTTAGGGTTTGGGGTTCAGGGCACAACGTGGCAGCCTGGATTCCCGGCCCAGACACCCGAAACCCCGGAAGCCCTAAACCCCGAACCCTTGCTTGAGGGTTCATGGGCACCTACAGGGTGGGGCCCCCTAGTTATAAGTAGAGTTATAAGGGCCCTAAATTGGGTTATAAGGACCCTAAGTTAGGTTATAAGTCCCTTAACTACAGTTAGTATAGTAAGGGGGCCCCACCCTGTAGGGTTCAGGGTTTAGGGTTTAAGTAGGGTTAGGAGCACCCTGAATAGGGTGCTAACCATAGTCACCCCACTTATAACCCTTTTTGAACCCATGCTGAGGCCGAGGCGTGTGACGGGAAAGTGTCTTATAACCCTAAACCCTAAACCCTAAGCCCTAAACCCTAAACCCTAAACCCTAAACCACAGCTCTCAAGTGCAAGTGCTCATGAACCCAGATATCCCTCTCAGCCTTCTTGGGCCCAAGGACCACGTACATGTGCGGCTGCTCGCCTCAAGGCGGCGGAGACCGTGGTGCATCGTATAGGGTTTAAGGTCTGGGGTTATAGGGTGTAGGTTTAGGGTTTAGGGTTTAGGGTTTAGGGTTTAGGGTTTAGGGTTTAGGGTTTCGGGTTTAGGGTTCAGGGTTTAGGGTGTAGGGTTTAGGGCTCATCTTGCTCTAGGGGGGTCTATCGAAGAATGGGGAAAACCGGACCCCAGAGTAACCTGAAAATGAAAAGCCTGCTCCGTTTGGTTTAAAGGGGCTTAAAAAAGGCAACCTAAGCCCTCAAGTAGGCCTGGTTCTTAGTAGGGAATGAGGGAATGAGGTACCCTATATACATATACCCTTTTAAGGCATTATATGGGGCACCTCATTCCCTCGTTCCCTACTAAGAACCAGCCAGCTTAAGGCCTACTCTGGGTTCGTTTGTGTCGTTTGCAGTACCAGGGTGCCTATCGACAGTCTCTGGAACAAGTGTGATTCTAAGTCGAATAGCACCCTACATGCCCAAGCCTAAACACTAAGATGGCCCTTAACACCCTGTGAAAAAAAATCCCGAATATCATCCTCTTGAACCCAAGGAGGGAAAATATAAAGTGCACCAAGGGCCTTCTCTAAACCCGAAAACCCTAAGCCCTCTAAACCCTAAGCCCCCTAAAACGTTCGTCCGAAGTGTCCGATGACTGCAAGCCTAAACCCTAACCCTAAACCCTAAACCCTAAACCCTAAACCCTAAACCCTAAACCCTAAACCCCCCAAAAAACACAAGAAACCTTCACAAGCCGTCTTCACCTGCAGCCAGGCTGCCAAAACGGTCGGCCTCGACCACCACGAGCCTGGCAGACGAGCTTAGAAGCTTGCACCCTAAACCCTACACCCTAAACCCTAACCCTAAACCCTAAACCCTAAACCCTAAACCCTTAACCCTTAACCCTAAACCCTAAACCCTATTCTACAGAAAACCCCTCAAGCCCTGGTCTAAGGGTAGTAGTCCCTTAGTATAGGCCCTTGAATGGGAGCCCCTTATATACCCCTTATCTACCCTTATATACCCTGTAAACCCCAAGGGCTCATACCTCAAAACCCTTTTACGGGGACCTATTCAGGGACCACGTTTGGCCCCAAACCCTAAACCCTAAACCCTAAACCCTAAACCCAAAACCCTAAGCCATAAGCCCTAAAGCCTATACTCCCCTTGTTTGGCCCCAAACCCTACTCCTAAGAACCTCGAAGCCCAAAGCCCAAACATCCTACACACCCTACTTCAACGGAAGCCTCCACAACCATGACCCTAAACTAAATCCGAAATTCTAAACCCTAACCCTAAACCCTAAATCCTAAACCCGAAACCCTAAACCCTGAACCCTTTGTTAACCCTAAACCCTGAACCCTTTTTTTAACCCTAAACCCTGAACCCTGAACCCTAAACCCTGAACCCTAAACCCTAAACCCTAAACCCTCCAAGGGGCGTGGTCTTTGAAAGCCAGGTGGGATGGAAGGCTGGCGGTACTCCAGATGCCATGGCCGACGCCCGAGTAGGGTTTTTTTTTTGCCACCCGCCTAGCTGAGGTTTAGGGTTTAGGGTTTAGGGTTTAGGGTTTAGGGTTTAGGGTTTAGGGTTTAGGGTTTAGGGTTTAGGGTTTAGGGTTTAGGGTTTCGGGTTTCGGGGTTTAGGGTTACCCCAAACCATCAACCAGAGGAGTGCTTTGGCAGATGAGGGTGTTTGGGTTTGTGGAGCAGAGTGTGTAAGGTGCAGGTTCTCAAGATTTAGGGGCTTTAGGGGTTTTATGGGTTTTTGGGGGGCTTTGGGAGCTTTGGGGCTATAAGGGCTTTAGGGATCTTAGGGTTGGGCGGGGGTGCGGGGGTTTGATCTCAGGCCTCGAGTTCAGGAGTTTATTTGTTGGTGGTTCCAGGCTTCCAAGTTTTAAACTGTTGCATCAAAATCTTTTGGGCTTCTTGCCGTTTTCTTGTGTTTCTTTTCCTGCCTGTCGGGCGCTGTAAAACCAGAACACGGTCAGGATCGACAGACACCGCATGCACCGGAAACAGTTGAAGCCTTCCACTCGCGTCTCCGTCTCAGGCCTGAACCCGAGCCCGCTGCTGTACTAAAGCTCTATATTCTTAAGTTCTTACAGCAGTTTTGTTGTCAAAACGATACCATTACATTGCTCTACTATTTCTTGCGGCAGGCCGACTCTCCAACTAGCCACCTTTTTTGTCTGACAGCATATAACGCGCGCTGTGTCGAAGAGTAAGCAGCAAGCTGGCTTTGGTTGAGGGTCTTGGGGTTTTTGGGGTTCGTTTCCTCACACGGCTCAGCAGAAGGAGCAGATGTCGAAGAGGTCATCGTATACCTGCCTCCGGAAGCCAGCCCTACTTGCAGGTTCGAGGTTCAAGGGCGGTTGCAAGTAGAGTTCTCAGTGGGGTTAGCTAATACCTTTTTTGGGGATTCCTAACACTGGTCTGCAATATCAAGCCGCCTCTGCTTGCTGCGAATGACGACTGTAAGGGTGTTTTTCGCTCAGAGGTTTAGGGTATGACCCGTGTCGACAGCTCAACCGGAGGGTCACAACAACATAAAGCTGCAAAGGAAATTTGATACCGCTGAGACATCGTTCTCGGTCACTGAAAGGGCCTACGGAGGAACTATAATCACATTCATGTTCGTATGAAAAATATAAACAGATAAAAAAGTAAATAGATAAATAGAAAGAATATTTATATATAATATATATATAGAAAGATAGATCAATAGCTAGATAGAAAGATCGATAGATATGTCGATAGATAGATAGATAGATCGATAGATATGTGTGCAGACTTATTTCTCTGCATGTATGTATGTGTATATATATATATATGTAAATACCAGTATACAAACGATGCATTATAACTCGCGAATCAGCATAATCTTTGATAACAGTAATCATGAAAACTGCTAACCCTAAACCCTAAACCCTAAACCCTAAACCCTAAACCCTAAACCCTAAACCCTAAACCCTAAACTGCCTTCTCTGCTAGCTCCTCCAGGAGTTGCCGCATCTGCGCCTCCTGAGCGTTCTCTGCGCAGAATCCCTCTGGTTTCTTAGTTTGGGCCCTACAGAATCCCTTGAAGGGCATATTTAGGGGAGAAAAACACACACACACACATCTATATATATATATATATACATAAAAGGGTATGTTAGGGCCCTATGTAGTCCCAACAAGGGTATATTTAGGGCCCGACATAATCCCTTCAAGGATGCCCTAATTCGTCCATTCCCTACTAAGAGCCAGCCTGTTAAACAGGCCCAGCATGTCTGCCAGGGTTCAAGGGTTTAGTGTGTAGGGTCTGGGGTTTAAGGGGTTAGGGTTCAACGGTTTAGGATGTAGGGTTTGGGGAAGGGATTTAGGGTTAGAGGGTTTTAGGCTTTCAGGGTGTAGGGTTGAAGGGCTTAAAGCTTAAGGGTTTAAGGCTGTGTAGGGTTGAAGGGCTTAAAGCTTAAGGGTTTAAGGCTTTAACGGTTTGAGGGCTTAAGGGTTTAGGCATGTTTAGGGTTTCGGGTTAGGGCAGATCAGGGCCTAAACCCTAAACCCTAAACCCTAAACCCTAAACCCTAAACCCTAAACCCGAAACCCTAAACCCTCAACCTCAGCTGGGGAAGTCGCCAGGTCATCCAGCTGAAGCTTTGCAAGGTGCCCTTCCTGGCAAGCGAGAAGCGCGAAGCCCGTAAGCCGTAACCCTAGGAAGAGCTTAGGGTTTAGGGTTTAGGGTTTAGGGTTTAGGGCCTATGAACCCCAACTGCTGAACCACCTAACCCCACACCCCAGCCTGAAGATCGGCAGGTTCTCGTGTTTGCCTAAGCCCTACTACTGTTGGTGCAAAGCCTGCATGTTCAGATTAAATTAAAAGCCTCTTGCTTTGAAGACGTGCATCTAACACGTAGGACTATTTGGTGACGCAAACCACTACTCGAATAGGGTTCGGGGGTACCGAAATGTGGCTTATTGTCCTCCCTGCAGTTGCTGCACCCACAGCGGTTGGACCCTAACAACCCTGAGTCCTAAACCCTAACCTTAAACCCTGTTGCATACAGGCCTCTTGCAGATTGCTGGGATCCGTCGGTAACCCTAAACCCTAAACCCTAAACCCTAAACCCTAAACCCTAAACCCGTTGGAACCAGGCCAGTCCTTCGTGTAGGGGTGCATCTCACAGTCTTTCTTGAAGTCCACAATGGCCTGCAGCTGCGATGGGGGGTCCTACGATCTTGGTAGCCCGGCAGCCATCTTATAATAAGGGCACCCTATTTTTGGGGTTGGTTATTTTATGAGGGAAACCAGAACCCCCAAAAAGGGTAAATGGTACCACTGGGCTACCAAGTGATAGTAGGGGTCCCTTATTGGGGTCCTCATTATGAGGGAATCCTGCTATTTGGGGGACAAAGTGAAGGGGTCCCTTGTTTTCGTAAGCCTCCAAGTGGTTTCAGGGCTGTTTGTTGTCCACCGGCCCCAGCGGCCTCGCAACCACGCCGCAGAGATGGTTTGAGGTTTTAGGGCTTAGAGTTTCGGACCCCCTGCAAAATAAGGAGGCTGCTGCGCGAAGGGTGGCAAAGCTGTAGCAACCGTAAACCCTAAACCCTAAACCCTAAACCCTAAACCCTAAACCCTAAACCCTAAACCCTAAACCATGCAGCCAGACGACACCTCTTGCAGGTCGGGCGGCCGGTCGGCTGGTGGCCCTATGCAGCCAGCGGAACCGAAAAAGCACCAACTTGCCCCAGGGTCCAACCCGTGAATGCTACTGCTTCCCTTGGTAGCCCAGTAACCCATCCTATGATAGGGCAACCCTTTTTTTGGGGTTGGTGACTTTCTAATAGGGAACCCAGGGCCTAAAAAAGGGGGTAAAGGGCAACCAATGGGCTACGAAGTTCCGAACACACCAAACGTTCGAAGTCACCAGAAACCCCGAAGCCTAAAACCCGCACCTCCCTCCCCCCCCCCCCAACTCTAAACCCTAAACCCTCAAACCCTAAACAAACCCTAAACCCTAAACCCTAAACCCTAAACCCTAAACCCTAAACCCTAGTTAAACCCTAAACCCTAACCCCTAACCCCTAACCCCTAAACCCTAAACCCTAAACAAACCATAACCCCTAAACCCCGGCTTGCGCCCCTCCTCGGAGAGGTTGCGGCGCATGGTCTCCCATCTGTCCATGATGCCCTCGAGAGCGGTGTCGGGGGTATTGCCGGAAACCCCAAATGGGTGGTTGTAAAAATTATGATCCGTTTTGGGGTACACCAAATGCGCGGTGCCGTGTTATCATAGAGATCCAAAAGGGACCATGATTTTGACAACCGCCCAAATCTTAATCTTACTAGCCTACTCATTTTCAGGGGTTGGGGCATGGGAGGTAAACACGAACTCAATCAATTGAGCCCTGAACCCTGACCCCTGAACCCTGAACCCTGAACCCTGAACCCCAAACCCTAAATCCTAAACCCTAAACTCTAACCCTAAACCCAGAACCCTGGACCCTAAAGACTAAGCATGCTCAAGGCCGCAGTACGAAAACCGATGCAGGTGGGACATATGAGGCGGCGGGCCGGACTGTAGTACAATACTCCCTACAGGATATTTAAGGTTTAGGGTTTAGGGTTTAGAGCAAGTATGCACATAGCCCCGCCCTTTACACGCGGTCGCCTTTTCGAATGTGAGACTCTATCCTAGCACAGCATGGCCTTTTCACCCAACACCCCACGCCCCAATCCTTTAAACCCCCCCCAGCCCCCTGCAACCCCTCTAAACCCCTCTAAACCCCTCTAAACCCCTCCAAACCCTAAACCTTAAACCCTAAACCCTAAACCCTAAACCCCCTCAGCCTTGGTCACCTCTTCTGGCCGGGGTGCGAAGCTACGGATCTCGGCCTTGCTGGGGCCGAGTTAAGGTTTAGGGTTTAGGGTTTAGGGTTTAGGGTTTAGGGTTTAGGGTTTAGGGTTTAGGGTTTAGGGTTTAGGGTTTAGGGTTTAGGGTTTAGGGTTGCTTTTTGGTAAACCATGGGTCCCTTTTGTGGCTCCTGTTCTATAGTTTCATTATAGGGTTTAGGGACCACCCCATTTTTGCCAGAGTCTCTTCAAATGTCCAACTATAAGTAGGGTTTAGGGCAGTTTAGGGCTCTGCGTTCAGCGTTTAGGGTTCTAAAACTACGAGTTGGAGCACCTGCCCGCATCAAGTGAGCCCTAAGCCCGTCTGCACCCAGTCGAATGCCGGAAACAAGGGTTTTAAGCAACCTTTGAAAGGGTACCCTTCTTTGCTCGACCCTTCACCATAACCTCTAAACCCTCCACCTTGAGAACAAAAACGGATTTAGTTTTAAGGATGCTTCGTGTTCTGGGTTTATGGTATTGGTGGGGGGGATCCATTTAGGGAATCTGCTACTCGAAGGTGCAGAAGTACTTACTTTTACCGGATTCTAGCCTTATTTCTGTTACTTGCAAGCCTTCTTATATTGCAAGTGTCGGCCCTTCCTCCACAATCGGAGGCGTCTTTTGTTTCTCTGGAATGCCAACCACACCCTCGCGCTTCATAATCTCAGTCTGAACATCCGACAGGAGCGACACATTGTCATAGCGCCCACTCCGACCCCTGCTCGGCGTGGTAGGTGTCGGCATACAAGCACATAAAGAACCCTATAATTAGTCCATGTACCTAAATAAGGAATACTTGGGTGATAAAGTACCTCTTGCATAGGGACTTGTGGGCTCAAGCATACAACAATATGGCACATGGACCCTTGCCGAAACGACAACCTGACCCCCTTGTGATGGTTTTCCGGCGCCTAGGCCGCGTTCTCCACTCAACCATGAAGCTTGAGATTGCTTGCACCCTAAACCCCAAACCCCAAACCCCAAACCCCAAACCCCAAACCCTAAACCCTAAACCCTAAACCCTAAACCCTAAGGAAGGCCACCCCAAAGAATCCTCCGAGCAGAGATGCATCTAACACAGCTAACCCGAGACCCTGGCCAAGATCCCGCTGTAGACCTCCAGGACATCTGCCTCGTAGGGCGACCTCAGCACACAGCGCTTTTGTCACATGACGATTTGTCCCCGCTCCCTTCTCGAAACCCCAAAACCCTGAACCCTGAACCCTAAACCCTAAACCCTGAACCCTACACCCTAAAACCCTAGACCCTAAACCTGAAATGCCTTCATCTTCAACTCTTGCATGGAAAAATGAAGCTCCTTGACGCTTGAATCAGAAGAGCTCTTCCCAAATATTTAGGGTTTAGGGTTGGGTTTAGATTTCAGGATTTACGGACTCGAAAACCTGCGTAGACCCTAAAACTTCTCTGAGCGTAACGGTAAGATGCGCGCCCATCGGGCGCCGTCATTCGCATGACCACGCCGCAGCGTTGGACAGGGCGGGGCCTGCCGCCAGCTTGCTTCGTTTGCTCTTAGCCTAAATCCAAACAGTTCAGCCCTAGACCCTGAAATCCCAGTTCCCAAAACCTAAACCGTTTCTTCAATTCAACCCTGAAATCTGAGTTCTGAACCCCAAAACCTAAACCGCTTCTTCAATTACAGGGATTAGGGATTGGGGCTCGGGGTCTAGGGTTCAGGGCTTTGGGTTGAATTCGGCTTCGAGGTTTAGAGCTCAAGAAATTTAGGGCCAAGGGCTAAAGGAGCCTAAACCCTAAACCCTAAACCCTAAACCCTAAACCCTCAACCCTTTTTCACAAGGGACTCGACTGCTGCCCTTTCTGCCCAGCCCGCCCCCACACCACAGTGCCTATGACTGCAGGGCGAGAGTCGCCACTTCGCGGCACCAAGCTTCAGGCACAACTTGATAGGACACTACTCTCTGGAATGCTTTGTATAGCTTGACAGTGACATCATAGAGGGTATGCTCAAAGATCTCAAAAGCAGTATGCGCGAAAAGAACTTGGAAAGACAGCCAGGTGTCCACATATCTGAGATGACAAATGACGAAGTGCAAAACGGAGTAAAGGTCCTCATGCCGTGCAAATGTCAGACTTTGCCAGCCGTCCGTGACATCCAGCCACACCACAGCCCAAGAATCCGAACGCAGCAGCACGAAGAGACTCAACCCCCAGTGGCACTCATGAGTTACAGCATGCTGCCATCTCAGCCAATCAGTAGTAGGCTTCGCATAGTGCGGGGGCAACCAGTAGAGCTGAACTATTCTTGACCCATGATTGGACCAAAGCTCCCTATTTGATGCGAGGTCTCGTAGTTCAGACCAACTTGGACCTTCAGACGAGGCACACAGTCCTGTAGCACGCACAACATGATGTATCCACTGGAAGAGCATGTTTCTGGGCCCAGGTCTAACCTGACGCCACCTACCAAGCACTCCTTGCTGCAACGCAATGGACGGCATGGAGTCCTCTCGCATTCTTAGCACATGACCCACATAGTTCCACTTTCGCTGTATCCAAGCTTGAGTCACTGCAGCCCTACCATCAAGATGATGCAAGAGAGCCGCCGTGCGTCGACGCAAGAGATTGAGAGGCAGGGCCGAATTGGAGTCAAGCCAGGCCGGAATGTACAGTTTGAGGACAGCTATAGCAGCGTCGTTCTGAAGCTTCGATATACTGTCAATATGCTTCTGTTTGGGTGAAAGGAGAGGCGAAATCCATAACCACTTTGCATGGATATACTTGTGCAAAATGTTGAGGCACGCAATGCTTTGATTCCAATTGAGCTTGCGAGTGATCGAAGCAAGTTGTTCTAACCCTTGAAAGACAGCACGCCTGCAGAAACCCACCAGGGCATCGTTCAAGTCTTCTGCTTGAGGGCTCAGGGCGTCAAAGTGCGACACAGTCTTTCGTAGATATTTGGCCTCGCTAGCCCACTTGCACTGCCGTAGCGGAGAGTCCTCAGGGACGGAGTGACCTCCTTCTGCCAAGAGCGAAGGAGTCGAAAACACAACTGTCTTGTCTAAATTGAGATGAAGGCCCGCAGCTGACAGTTGATGACAGAGAAAAGAGAAAGCATCATGCGCCTGTTCCCAGCCACCATATATAACCAGACAGTCATCAACAAATAACCAACCTGGCACTCCATGTAAGTTGCTTGTGCTACGGTCCTGGAATATACCTGAAATAACTGCATCGAAGTAGTGCGAGAAAACCGTAGAGGAGTGACTCCCCCCTTGTTGGACTCCTATGTTTGCCTCCAGCTGCCAACTGCGTCCCTCAAACTCAAAGTTTAAAGTGGGATGCAGCAGCATGTGACAAAGTCTCAGCGCTTCAGGAGCGTGACTTGCCGGGGTCACATCTATGATGTGCTGAAGAAGATGCTGATATCGCACGCTGTCAAAAGCTTTTTTAATGTCCAGGCTGACGTAGATGCATGGGGCACCCTGCAGGGACTCACGCTCCAGGAACGAGTGGACACCCAGAAGCGCGTGGAGCACTTGGCCACCAGGTAGCCCACCGTACTGGTGTTTCGGCGGGGGCCAAACATCCAAAAGTCTGGAGACAAGCAGTTTGCAGAACAACTTGTGCATGGTTTCTAGCATGCAAATAGGTCGGAGATCACTAGGACCACAAACTTGTTGGAGTTTGGGCACGAGAGCCACCATGCATTGCTTGAAATTCTGCATGTCATCAGAACCATGATCCCATTGATACACACTACCCGAAGTCAACGGAATGTCTTCGAAAAGCATGTTCGTCATGTCGTAAATAGCTTTGTACAAGAACCTCTTGGTCCTACTGATTCCTGCGGAACCTGCCTGGGTCCCTAGAAGCCGATGAGCTGCACGGAGCCTCTTGTAGATCTCGTACTTGCATGTGTTGTCCAAGATGGCAACGGTGACAACCCTGTTACATTAGAACGAATCCCATGTCTCTTTTCCCCTGCGAAGGAGCCTGGGACATAGGCGATGTTCTCGCTTCCCATCGGGCCACCATTGACAATCCTCACCAGTGTCCCTTTTGCTTCCAGAATATACCCTTGGGTCCTCTGGGAAACGCAATTCCCTTCCCCAATTGCTGAGCGGAAGGCTGCATGAGCAAGCAAAATGCGGAGAACACCTGGATTCAGGTCCGCCTTCGAATCAGGTGACAGAAAAGCTACCACCTTCTCTGAGTCCATGAACACAGAGTTGAAGAAAGACATTGGTATAGGCGAAAGAATGCGAACTTGGCTGTTCTTCTGTGCCAAAGTTGTTCCGGTTGCCTGACCGGTTGCCGCGATCATCTCGATGTCACCTCCGAATCCGAATGGTAGATCATTCGAAGAGGAACTCCCTGCGATGTCGTAAATCGAAAGCAACGATAGCTGATTTTCGTTCAGCTTACTCATCACTTGCTTCAACTTCACAGTAAAGCCCATCTCCTCGGACGAAAGATTGCCCGCATCTCTGTCGCGATGGCATCTATCGACGCCTGACTTCCGAAAGCATCATTCAATGCCCCTGGCGGAATCATGAGATTCTTGACCTCATTCTTGGACTTGTCATCACCAGCACCCGACATGGCAAGCACAGGCGAAATCACTCGAAAGAGAGCTGAGCAGAATCTTGAGCCGTAGCCCTAAACCCTAAAACCCTAAACCTTTTAAGGACTCTAGGGAGATTGGGCAGTTTAGGGGTGCTCAGAGTTGAGGTAGTCGAAGTTTTTTGAGGGGCTGGAGGATACCCTTCATCTTATTCCCCTTTCTAGCCCTTATATATATATATATACATATACAAAAAATAGAATAAATATATATATATATGTATGTATATATATACACCTTATCTATTCCCTATGTTCCGAAGTAGCCCCTAAAGAACCCCTAAGGTCCTTTGTAAGGGTCCCTCCTTTAGTGCCCTGACTCTTTTGGAAAAATCCTGAGCCCTAAACGAGTTTAGGGATTTTTGGCACCCGCAGAGCTGGACAAACCGCTCAGGTTTTGGGGTTTAGGGTTTTAGGGTTTTAGGGTTTAGGGTTTAGGGTTTAGGGTTTAGGGTTTAGGGTTTAGGGTATAGGGTATAGGGTATAGGGTATAGGGTTTAGGGTTTAGGGTTGAGGGTTTAGGGTTTAGGGTTTCGGGTTTAGGGTATAGGGTTTAGGGTATAGGGTTTAGGGTTTAGGGTTTGGGGTTTAGGGTTTGGGGTTTAGGGTGGCCAAGCAGACCAGGCACGCTGCGGGGTAACAATTCGGGACGACAGACAAAGCGTTGAAACACCTTTCGCATGCCTGCTGTACTTGCTGAGATCGAGGGGGGACGCCCCATTTCCATAAACCCCCTACTGGCCTCAGTATCCGCTTTGCTCGGGGCCGGAGAGAGAAGGGGCTTCTGTGGATTCTTGATGAGGAGGCGAGGGGATTTTGGGGAGGAGGACCGCTAAGCCCTGAAGTTTCTCCAAGACTCACCTTAAACCCTAAACCCTCAAAACATCCCCAACCCCGAACCCCCCAAAAAAGGAGTCTGCAATGGGAACTATGAAGTCTGAAGCCATGACTTTACAAGTTCGTGTGCTGGGAAGGCTTTTGTCTTCGGAGTGGGGATTCCCGACACCTGAAACTATACAGAACTTGGAACCCTGGCAAAAATCGAATTTTAGCTGCTTCTTAGGAATTAAATAAAGTACCCAAACATTCTAACTTTAGCTGTTTCTTAGGAATCACAGTGCCCAAAAAACACAAAACATATTCCAAAGAATCCCTAAGGAAATCCTGCATGGCCACAGGGCCCGGGCCCCATAGAGCCCTGATATCTGGCGATGAGGTCGGCCCTCGGGAGCATTCAGGGTTTAGGGCCAGGGTTTAGGTTTAGGGTTTAGGGTTTAAGGTTTAGGGTTTATTGAAGGAATTTATTTCCGAACGAAGGGGTAGTGGAGCCTCTGGGTAGTTGTACTTCGGCACATTTGGGACGTGTAATGCACCTGACGAAGTCGAGCTGGCTTCTCGAGCCCAGATGCTGGGCTTAGGGTTTATAGGGTTTAGGGTTTAGGGGCTTATACCAAGTTACCCACGATCATGATACCATCTATTGCGCTATACACCCCTATGTGAAATAACTTGGCTTGATTTTCTTAACTTTAAGACAACACAAGCCCCCCCCCCCCCCCACCCAATCAATCTGGCTAAAGGCTTCACACGGTACTGCAACAAAGGCTGGTTCTTAGTAGGGAATGAGGGAATGAGGTACCCTATATGCCCTTTAAGGGATTCTATAGGGCCCTCATTCCCTCATTCCCTACTAAGAACCACGGGGACAAAGGCTGGGTGTCGCACACGGCCGAAGTGTCCGCCAAGTCGCACCGCACATCGTGGTGGGAAGTGTATTCCTACGAGCATGTTTTCAGTGATGGGTTCGCCAGGTTTAGGGTTTCGGGTTTAGGGAGATGGGATTAGGGGGGACCCTTGGGGATATAGACCCTCTGAATAAGGTTCCTGTTTAAGAAAGCCAGAAGAGGGTTCAGAAGGGTTGCCTTTTTCAAGGGTCCCCCTTGTCCCAGGAAGTGATGGGTTCCCAGGAGGCTCCTTCATCAAGTAGGGAGCATTCCCCAGATTTTGTAAGTGGGATACGAATGCAACTTCGGGAATCTTCCTGAATTCGGAGGCCTTCGTGTTTCTGGGGGGTCTAGGAGTGGGCCGCTTTTATACCCTAAACCCTACACCCTAAACCCTAAACCCTACACCCTAAACCCTAAACTCTAAACCTTAAACCCTAAACCCTAAACCCTAAACCCAGGGACCAGGTTGCCCCCCCCCTAAGACTGGACAGACCCCTGTCCCGGTTGCCCGATCGTGATGGGACCTCGGGGAGGATCTAGGGTTCAGGGTTTAGGGTTCAGGGTTCAGGGTTTAGGGTTTAGGGTTTAGGGTTTAGGGTTCAGGGTTTAGTAATTGAGGGTTTACTCGAAGGCTGCATGGATGCTTCACTACTTCGAAGTACCCATGAACCTGAAAGCAAACGCAGCCCAACTCATGCCCCAAATAAGGTTATAGTTGCCCTGCTTGTGGCCCTTCTTGGAGCCCAGGAACCAATTATAATGAGGGTACCAGTACGATTTTATAACGGAACCCAGAACTCAAAAAGTGCAAAAGGGTACCACTCATCTACCCAGCCTACTTCGAAGTACGCATGAGCCTCCAAGTAGGGTTTCGGGGTCTGGGGGTTTAGGGGCTTGTACGCTGCAAGCGCCGCTGCCAGAGGGTTGCGCCCAAGCGTGTTCTTATGTTAGGGTTAATGGGTTTAGGGTTTAGGGGGTTTCGGGTTATAGGGTTTAGGGTTATAGGGTTTAGGGCGAATCTGAGGATGGCATTTTTCAACCCCCCCTGCGCATGGCCTGATGTCTTTGCAGGCCAGCGATGCTCGAAAACAATTGCGCCCCAAAGGGTGGCTCACGGGGTGACACAATTTTCAACGGTATTGACCCGGTTGAGATTAAATGACATACAAAGATCTCAGGAGCCCAAGACCCCTTAACGAAGGAAGGGACCAGAAGAACCCCTGCACAGTTCAAGGTTTAGGGGAGGAGTTGGGAGTTTAAGGGGAGTTGGGGGCGTTTATGAAGTTTAAGGTACATTCCTTAAGGGGGTAGATTCCTAAACCCTAAAACCTAAACCCTAAACCCCAAATCCATACTTAAGGAGTACTGGGCTCGCTGGGCGTGTCTTGCAATATGGGAGACGCTGTCATCTTGGCTGCTTCAGTGCAGAGATTTCCCTGTGCACGTGCTCCACCTGCAGTCCCGAGTGCTTTAGGGTTTAGGGTTTAGGTTTTAGGGTTTAGGGTTTAGGGTTTCGGGTTCATGGGCAGCTAAAAGTAGGGGTAGAAGTAAGGTTACAACCATAGTTACCAAACGTACTCTACCTAGAAGTGCCCATGAACCTTCAAGCACCCAACGGCAGCAACCCGACACGGACATGATGCGTGCGCCAGTGACTGCGCGGAGAAGTTCAAGAGTACCACAACAAAGCCAAATCTCCCTAAACCCTAAACCCTAAACCCTAAACCCTAAACCCAAATCTCGACACCGGAAGTGGTTGATCTAAAGCGGGCCCCTCAGTTCTACTTGTTTTGATGAGTGCACTTTGTGTATAATAGACCTTCTCAATCTGAAAAGAGAGTCTGGCAAAAAGTGGCCCTCATGTAGAACAACCCTCCACCCCCCCACCCCCCCACCCCTGTGAAATGTCCAGCACAAGCTATGGAAACAGCCAGGATCTGCCAGCTGCGCACCAGGCTTTAGAGTTTAGGGTCCGTGGAACGAAACAACCACTAGCGTGAGCCGAGCGGCTTCCTCGTGAATGCCTGGCACAGAGAGGCGCATGGACAGAAGGAATGCGCTAAGGCGCAACAGAGCCAATGAAACAGTCCATGCGCACGCGCTCCAGATTCCACCCTGCACCCGATAAGCCCCAAACCCCGACTTGGGCCCTAAACCCCAAACCCCAAACCCCAAACCCCAAACCACCTTCCTCCTCGGCCGTGATTGCAATCACTTTGGAAAGGGCTTTTGCAGGGCTTTGTATCGATCACAAACCCGTTGTAGCGGCTGCGTGGCCTTCATCGGACTAGATGCTCAACGAAATCTAAGGCAGAAGGTTTAGGGTTTAGGGTTTAGGGTTTAGGGTTTAGGGTTTAGGGTTTAGGGTTTAGGGAGAACATTAAGGGGTACAAGGAGGGACCCCTAGAAGGGGCCCTTAATCTCATTCCCCTAAATATAACCCCTATATCCCTTCTACAGGGTGGGGCCCCCTTACTATACTAACTGTAGTTAAGGGACTTATAACCTAACTTAGGGTCCTTATAACCCAATTTAGGGCCCTTATAACTCTACTTATAACTAGGGGGCCCCACCCTGTACCTATGTACCTAAGTAGCCCCTCAATAATCCCTGAGGTCCCTATTTCAGGGTCCCTCCTTTAGTCCCTTGAGAACCAGGGGCAACAAAAACCTATTGCCTAAAACCCCCGTGGCTCGAGATACTTGCAGCTACTGCCGAGGCACGCCGGAGTAGCTTCAATGTCTGAATGGTCCAGATGGGCACGTCCTGTCAAAGAAAACTCCCTACTTTGCAGTACACCCTGGAAAAAGATACATACTCTTTAGGTATAAGTAGCTATAATAGGAATCCAGAACCAAACACATATTAAAGTATAGTACTCCAAGGCCAAGAACTCAACTCATGAGATTCCTTGGTTTTGCATGGCCGAGTGGCTCGCTAAGTAGGGTTGTCCACAACGAACAGGTGTGTAGGGTTTAATACAGGGGCCTGGATGATTAGAATGGGGGCCAGGGGGTTATTATATGTTACTTATACTTGGTAGCCCAGTAACAATCTTTTAATAAGGGCACCCTTTTTTGGTTGGTTACTTTATAAGGGAACCCAGAACCAAACGAAGGGTAAAGGGTACCAGTGGGCTACCAAGTATAAAGGGACCATAAGGGAATATTGCTAGCAATTCTTCCCACCCCCAGATTAGGATCTCACGACAATGCTGAGAAAATGAGGCCATCGGACGCCCTGGGACAGCAGGAGTCAGCGTTCAACCCTGCTCAACGCATCTTTTAGGGTTTAGGGTTTAGGGTTTAGGGTTTAGGGTTCAGGGCCTGTCTTCAGCCATTTCCAGTTTGTTCGACGTTGGAGCTTGTTTTTGTTATTCCTGGTCAGAACAGTCATCGGGAGAAAAGCTCGAATTTGACCTCCGGCACGGCTGGGCGCGCCGCACCGATATCAGGGCTTACCTTAAGAACCTAAACCCTAAACCCTTTTTGCATCCGGGCGATGATGTCCTGGCCGGAAAGTCTTAGCAACACTCTCAGACCCTAGCCCGTGGCTACCCCCCTAAACCCTAAACCCTAAACCCTAAACCCTAAACCCTAGCCCCTACAGGACCCAGTTCAGAAACCCAAGACACCAGTTTGTGTTTCTAAGTTGGGCTCAAAGGTATATGGGGGTTTACGATAGTGAGGGACCCCTAACATAGAGCCCCAAGTAGTAGGATCCCCGAATACTAAGGACCCCAATAAGGTACCCCTAATTTCGAAACCAAAACCCTAAACCCTAAACCCTCCACACAGGGTTCGAGTCCTGGAGACACAGGTTCAGCAGCCCCTCAACGAACTCAGTCTGGCTCCTGGGTTTAGGGTTTAGGGTTTAGGGTTTAGGGTTTAGGATTGGGGTTTAGGATTAGGGTTTCGGGTTTAGGGTCTAGGGTTTAGGGGCTTAGGATTTGCGGGAGTTTGCGTATGGGACTGCTTGGGTTGTTGGATTCAGGCCGATGGGGATGAAGATGGTGGGGCAACCGGTGCCGAATCATAAACTCCCAAACCCCTTAATTCAGGAATATACCTTAAATCATATTTCGCTTCCTAGTATCATTTAAGGGATATTCCTTAAGGGGTTTTGGAGTCTCTGGGAAGGTTCGAGTTGCTTTGGAGTCTGTGCTCTATAATTTACTCCCGCATTGCGGTATCCATGTCTCTGGTTCAAGGATGCATTGTGGGTGCGTGCACTTATTGGGTAACCCTAAACCCTAAACCCTAAATCCTCAAGACGAAATAAATAGAAACTGTATGCAGTCTCATTCTGAGTTTTTCAAGTTATTTGTCTAAACAGCTGACAAGCTGGGTTTAAGCGGAAGTACCCATGTAGGCAAGCAGCACGTTGCCCGAGCCATCGACGTCCAAGTAGTGGAAGAAGTCTGCCATGGTCTCCTTGGGAGTTTAGGGTTTAGGGTTTAGGGTTTAGGGTTTAGGGTAAATTTAAGGTTTAGGTTATTTTTGTGGCCACCCGCATAGCTGTCCTTTTTCAGAATTCGGGCAGCTGCCTCCAATTTGGCCCGACCAGTTGAAAATGCGAGCTGCTCCAACTTCGGGGGCGGAGCACTACAGTTAAAGAATATACTTGCTAGGGAAACCCAGGGGTTTTCTGGCTTTTTTGACGCCCGCAAATCACCAAGGGTGTAAGTCTAGGAATTAGGGTGTAAGAGATAGTCATTGGGAAAGAAAAATCTGAGCCATTGGTGATGTGAGCTATCGACCTTCTTCGAAGCCATCACGTGCCCCGCAGCAGATTCAACCCCCGAACCTTAAACCCCAAACCCCTAAACCCCTAAACCCCTAAACCCCAAAACCCCTAAACCCCTAAACCCCTTTTTGCAGCCGGACTGAGGGCGTTGCCGGAATGCTGAACCCCTAAACCCCTAAACCCCTAAACCCCTAAACCCCTAAACCCCTAAACTCCTAAAACCCTCCTAAACCCCTAAACCCCAACCCCCAAACCCTAAACCCTAAACCGAAGGCCGAGTTTCATGTTGCTCGCCACATGCGCTCCCCCAAACCTCAGCCCTCTTATATACATATGTATATATATATATATGCATATATATATACATATGCATACATATGTATACATATATATATATGTGTGTGTGTTTTACTACAGTCTGTTACTTTACTTGCTAAGCTGTACTATGTCGTATTGGACGAGACGGTGTTGCTTTATGTTTTGTTAAGTCATGTATTCTAGAAGCCTTTTTGCACGTACACCTACAACAGAATGTCCTTGTCTTTGGAAACATTCAGTACGGGAGGTGCACTATAGTCGTCGCAGCAATTACTAACTGTATTCCCTTGGGTCCCTTCGTAATTCTACTATAATAACCCCCAAAACCCTATTCTAAATATTCAGGCCCCTGCAAGCCCTGGTAAACCCCTCAACCCTAAACCTAGCTTTGGCCTGAACGCTAAACCCCTACCCTACAGATTTAGGGTTTAGGGTTTAGGGTTAGGGTTTAGGGTTTAGGGTTTAGGGTTTAGGGTTTAGGGTTTGGGGTTTGGGGTTTGGGGTTTGGGGTTTGGGGTTTAGGGTTTAGGGTTTGGGGTTTGGGGTTTAGGGTTTAGGGTTTAGGGTTTAGGGTTTAGGGTTTAGGGTTTAGGTTTAGGATTTCAGATATATTCATCCCCGTCGGCCCTGAGTGCGGGGCCACATGGATCGACTCCAATAGCCGTCCAGGCACGAAGTCCTCCATCGGAACTCCCTCCAACTCCTGGCTCTCTAGAATCTGATGGGTTTCGGGTTTAGGGTTTAGGGTTTCGGGTTTAGGGTTTAGGGTTTAGGGTGGGTTCCGGGTTTATAGGGGTTGAACCCCTTCCCTTAAAAAAAACACATTACCTAGCACCAAATCTGTTCTGTGGATCCGGTGATGTCCCCAGAAACTCCAAAACCCCTTAATTAAGGAATATACCTTAACTCATATTAGGGTTCCAATTATCTGGGTCCTGAGGCTTTGTGAACTTTAGCAACTTTAGCGCTGCCTGCCGCGACGACATCCAAAGCGGACAAATTTGCCGGCGGGGTAGCTAAGTTGACCAAGAGACAAGCCTAAACCCTAAACCCTAAACCCTCAACCCTAAACCCTAAACTCACACATTGGCTAGCACGACTCGATGTGCTCCTAAACGTTTCCCCTGCGCATTTCTTACCAGATGTCCTCGTAGGTGAGCATGCCATTCTTGTCGGTGTCTAAATCGCGGAACACGTCGATCAGTGCCGGAATGGCCTGGCACGATACCCAGAGACTCCCAAAAAAACCCTTGGCTAAGGAATAGGGCTTAGGGCTTAGGGCTTAGGGTTTAGGGTTTAGGGTTTAGGGTTTAGGGTTTAGGGTTTAGGGTTTAGGAGAATCTCCCTTAGATTATACTCGGAACCCTGATCTGATTTAAGGTATATTCCTTAATTAAGGGGTTTTGGAGTTTCTGGGGATATGCCGTTTGGCAACCGAAGCCGCATGGGGGGTTTCCGAGAATAGGGGTACCTTTTTGGGGGGTGCCTTTAAGGGGATTCTATTCCATTTGGAAGAACAAACGGGGTATATACCCCTATTTGGGAAATACCCACATGCTCTGAAACCTCACCAGGATAGAATCTTCTGTGATTGCCCAAAACTCCTCTCATTAAAACCCCTAAGCTTTAGATACCCCTAAACCCTAAACCCTAAACCCTAAACCGCAAAACCGAATACCTGAAGGTCCCCAACTGCCCTTGCATTCCAGCGGCTCGCTTGAGTTGCTGCTGCAGCTCTTTTTTGTCCTCCTGAGCCGTGCTTGCAGACGAGCAGGTAGGGGCAGAGGGTTCACGGTGCAGGCTGACTCGCTCTAATTGTGGGGTTCTTAAGGGGGGGAAGTTCTTGGGGGGGGGGGGGGGGGTACCCAGAGAACCTTTGGGAAGCTCAGGGAGTAGTGGGGAGCATTAAGGAACCTTGGGTTAAACACCCCCCCGTAAACCCCCGCCCCTTAAGAACCCCATAATGTAAGCTGGACCATGGTTTTGAGCTTTCAGGCGTCGTGTCGGCTCTCAGAATTCTGCCAGCCAGAAAGCCGCGTCTCGTTTCAGGGAGTAGGGCTTAGAGTGGGAGCGCCTCTCCAAAAAAGTACAAATATCAATAACAAGAACAATAACAAAAACAACAGCAAGAACAATAACAATAAGGTAAAATGAGGCCATAGTACTAATCATAATAACCATAATAATAATAATATAGAATAGAAATAATAATAATAATAATAATAATAATACTGAACCTTCGGCCTCGGCTTGCACCGCGGTCTGCTCCATCGCGTTCTCCACTAATGCGGCCGTTACCTCAGCAGGTGTGCCATACTTGGCCGGTTCATGAATACTTGTAATGTAGGGTTGGAGGTCGTGGGGTAAGAATGCTTGTAATGTAGGGTTTTAAGTCGTGGGGTAAGAATACTTGTAATGTAGGGTTGTAAGTGGGGTATGCATACTTGTAGTGTAGGGTTGTAAGTGGGGTACCTGCGGTTCTTTAGAAAAGGTCATGACCTCGTACACTACATTAGGTCAAATACTTGTGGCGTGGGGTTGTAAGTGGGTATCCGTGGTTTAGTAAAGGTCATGACCTCGTGTAGGGTACGTACTTAAACAACCCTAAACCTTAAACCCTAAACATAGGCGGCTGCACCTGGGCCTCGAAAGAAACGCCCGACAAGCAACACAAGCAAAGGAGACTTCTGTGCCCCTCAACCCTAAACCCTAAACCCGAAACCCGAAACCCTAAACCCGAACCCTCAGCACTCAGCAGAGGAACTCCGCAGTCACCAGGTTTAGGGTTTAGGGTTTAGGGTTTAGGGTTTAGGGTTTAGGGTTTAGGGTTTAGGGTTTAGGGTTTAGGGTTTAAAGTTTAGGGTTTAGGGTTTAGGGTTTAGGGTTTAGGGCTCGGCCAAAGGCACCAGGTTCATGAGGCCGATGGAGATGAACATGAGGATGGGCGCAAAGAACGCAAACAGCTGGGGCTTCAGCATAAGCCTTTCACATTTCAAGGGTTCAGGGGTTCAGGGGTATAGTTTGGGTTTAGGGATTTGGGATTTAGGGTTTAGGGTTTAGGGTTTAGGGGGGGGGGGGGGGGGGTAGGGGGGGTTCCGGCTTTAGGGCGGGGCTGCAGGGCGGGTGCTATGTCGAGTCTAGGGTTCGGTTTAGGGTTTGTACGCGCGTGGGCCTTTGGGGATTCAGTGTTTTCGGGGTTCCTAGGACGGTTTTAGGGGCTTATGAGGTTTTATGGCTAGTTTTGGGGTTCGCGGGCTTTAGGGGTATCTAGGCCTTGGGGTTTAGGGGCTTAGTGGCAAGCTTTAATTAGGGCCTACGGTTGCGGGTCGGGTCCTAAACCCTAAACCCTAAACCCTAAACCCTAAACCCTAAACCCTAAACCCTAAACCCTAAACCCACTAGGGCTTCTGGGCCTGAGGGACCAGGAATCTTTGGCAACCCCAAGCCGTTTCGGGGTTTAGGGTTTACAGCCCAAATTCTGCCGAATTGCCTGAAACCCTGAACCCCAAAACGCCCTTCAAGCCCTAAGCCCTAAACCGCTCGTCGTTTTTGTTGTTGGTGCTTGGGGGTCTGGGGTGTGGAGTCACAAGCCCGAAGCCCCAAGCCTTAAGCCCTAAGCCCTAACACCCTAAACCGGTGACCTGTGAGGGTGGAGGGCTACAGTGCTTTCTTGGGCTTCAAAAAGCAGCTCGGGCCCCCAGGCCCTAAGCTCTGTGAACCCCAAGCCGGGAACCCTGTTTGTTGAAACTGCACTTGCTGGCTCCTCAATGAGTAAAACCCGAGCTCCAACCCTAAACCCCTCAACCTTAGACCTCCTCTGAACCCAAACGCTAAACCCTAGACCCCTTTTACCACCAGGACTGCGCCGAACCCGATACCCCCAAACCCCCCAAACCCCCCAAACCCCCCAAACCCCCCAAACCCCCCAAACCCCCCAAACCCAAAACCCAAAACCCAAGACCCAAGACCCAAGACCCAAGACCCAAGACCCAAAACCCTAAACCCTAAACCCTAAACCGAGACCTGGAAATAAAGGCAGCCCAAGCAACAGCGGGAAGTAAACGGATGCGATGGAATCCATCGTCACGAACCTAGCTGAGGAGGTAGGTTTTGTTTAGGGCTTAGGGTTTAGGGTTTAGGGTTTAGGGTTTAGGGTTTAGGGTTTAGGGTTTAGGGTTTAGGGTTTAGGGTTTAGGGTTTAGGGTTTAGGGTTTAGGGTTTAGGGTTTAGGGTTTTTTCTAGGTTTGGGGTTTCGGTTCTTTTTTCTAGGGTTTATGGCAGTTTAGGGGCCAAGATTCAGCCCAGACGAGCTCCCTTTACTCACGAACACCCCAAAAACAAACCTCAAACCCCAGAGGCCCGAAATGCTCAAAATGCTCAAAACTTGACAGCCTGATCCTGAACAGGGTTTAGGGTTTAGGGTTTAGGGTTTAGGGTTTAGGGTTTACGGTTTAGGGTTTGGGGATCCTGAACAACATACTTCCAAGCAGCTGGAGGAAGGTCAACGCAGCCTTGAACAGCCCGAGAAAGTGATCATCAATGATCTTGGCAGAGACTTCCTGAGGATTAGGGTTCAGGGTTCAGGGTTCAGGGTTCAGGGTTTAGGGTTTAGGGTTTAGGGTTTAGGGTTTTGGGTTTTGGGTTTAGGGTTCAGATTTAGGGTTCAGGGGCTCAGGGCAACTTCTTTAAAGGAGGCGGGACAGACATAACCTGCTGCTATATGGTGGTTTACGAAACTAAAGGACCCAGAATGACCCAAAATTCCCTTATAAGAACGACCCCCAACAAGGTACCTCGAACTGCGGAAACTCCCCATATTCGAGTGCGTCTGCTCTCCCCATATATCTCCTCCTTTCGATCCGCCGGAGGTCGGTACATGGAGGTTCATGGGTACTTATCACCCCAATTATACCGACTTATAGCCTACTTGGAGGACTTAAGAGGAATTAGGGGACGCAGGGGGCTTGTAAGTGCAATGAGAAATGGGGCGAAGTACCCTGAACCTCCAAGTAAACCCTAAACCCTAAACCCTAAGCCCATGAGGTGAAACATCTGACAGGAGCCGCTTGGGGTTTAGGGTTTAGGGTTCAGGGTTTAGGGGTACTAGCAAATCGGGCTAGAAGTAACTAGGGCTGCCATGGTTCATTCGCCAGCAGGTACTGGTCCTTTGCGATGACCTCAATGGCAACGCATGCGCAGATGAAGAGGAAGATGACAATCCTGGGCCGCACAGATTGGTTGAGGATTTAGGGTTTACGGGGTTTAGGGTCTTGGGCCCTAAACCCTAAACCCTAAACCCTAAACCCTAAACCCTAAACCCTAAACCTCTTGGGGTATGTGGGTCAGGATGCGAAGCTAAGGCCGATGCCAAACGCCCACAAACCCTTTGCAACCAGCTCTCGAAACCCTCAAGCCTAAACCCTAAACCCTGTGAACCTTTGAGATTAATCCCTAAACCCTAAACCCTAAACCCTAAACCCTAAACCCTAAACCCTAAACCCTAAACCCTAAACCCTAAACCCTAAACCCTAAACCCTAAACCCTAAGCCCTAAGCCCTAAGCCCTAAGCCCTAGAGCCCAAACCCTGCGAACCCTTGAAATCCTGCAAGAAAAGGGGCAATAACGTCGTGGAGAGGATGGTCGAACCGCAGGAAAGCAGCGCATAGACCAGTCCTCAAGGCAGTACTTGCAGGTTCCTGGGTAGGGCTTATAGGGCTTAGGGCTCATAGGGCTTAGGGCTTAGGGCTTAGGGCTTAGTGCTTAGGGCTGAGGGCTTAGGGCTTAGGGCTTAGGGCTTAGTCCTCAAGGCAGTACTTGCAGGTTCCCGGTAGGGTTTAGGGCTTAGGGCTTAGGGCTTAGGGCTTAGGGCTTAGGGTTTAGGGTTTAGGGTTTGGGGGTTTAGGGTTTAGGGTTTAGGGTACTGCCGAAACCGCAGGCAAGGGACGCCACATGATCTTGAAGTACCGGAAAGTCCGCAGAGCCCGAACCAGTCGAAGCAAGCGCAGTCCACGGACCACCAAGAAGGTCTCAAAACCTGAATGGATCAAGGAGCTGCTCGGTTTAGGGTTTAGGGTTTAGGGTTTAGGGTTTAGGGTTTCGGGTTTAGGCTCCGTGTGTGCAACTTTCTCGTGTGTTCGCGTGGGTTGCGGAGTACGTGAGGCCGTGTCCTTGAGGGTCAGGGCTCGAGGCTCTGCTCAAAACCGAAAGAGCCTTGAGCCCTTAAAACCCTCCTAACCCTAAACCCTAAACCCTAAACCCTAAACCCTAAACCCTAAACCCTAAACCCTAAACCCTAAACCCTTTTTCTGAGCGCCTGAAATCTGAAACCCTTACAACCGTGGAGCGAGCCCTTAAGCCCCCTGAGCCCTAAACCAAATCAAAACCAACTCTTGGTGCAAGGCTAGAGCACTCCACGGTTTCGAGTTTCGGGGTTGAGTAGTACATACATACGGTCAGTGGTCACTGTACTCTAAAATTAGGGGCCGCCCTACACAAGTAACCCTCCAAAACGGACCATAAGAGAGAGAAGTGACCACAACCTCTCCCCCCCCCCCCAACCCTGAACCCTCCATCACACCACAGCAACGAAGAACCCCAAACCCTAATCCCTAAACCCTAAACCCCACACCCTGCGAAGCCCCTTACTTTTAGGAGTTTCGCTACACCACTCCTATGCTGAAGGATTCACGCACTTGAGGGTTAAAGGGCTTTGAAATCTGATAGGCCTCTCTTGGTTCTTATCAGTAGGCTCACCGTTCCTACCGACCATGCTGTCGTCACCATTCACCATGCTAATTAGTCTCCTCGTGCAAGTACTACATTGCTATGTAAACATGATATATATATATATATATATGTATATATATATATATATACATATACATATGCATATTGTAATATTCTTGCATCTCGATTATAGCTGCTACCCTAAACCCTAAAGCCCTAAACACCCTAACCCTGTGCCCTGGCTCCCCCGATCCCCGAAGCCTTGGATGGGCGAAATGAGTCCGATTGTGAAGATGCCTGCAGGGCAGCGCGTGACACAAGACTTGCTGTTGGTTAGTAAGGGATGAGGGAATGAGGTACCCTACGTCCCCCTATATATACCCGTTTAAGGGATTATATAGGGTACCGCATTCCCCCCCATTCCCTATAACCAACAGTAAGAAGACCACGCTCGGCATTTCTGTGACCTTCCGACGGCCTTAGGGGTTTAGGGTTTAGGATTTAGGGTTAGGGGGTTTAGGGTTTGGGGCTTAGAGTTTTGGATTCAGGGTTTAGGGTTTGGGGGTTAGGGGGTTTAGGGGTTTAGGGGTTGGCGTTGAGGGGTTTAGGGTTGAGGGTCCTGATCAGGATACAAGCACCCCCGTGCCTGGGAACACGACCAGGGCCAGGATGCCGATCGAGACCAGGAAGAGGTCCATCAGGAACCAGAGGTCGCAAAACACCTTGGGCTTCGGAGGGTTTAGGGTTTAGGGCTAGGGTTTAGGGTTTAGGGTTTAGGAGGGTTTAGGGTTTAGGGCTTCGGGCTTAGGAGGGTTGATGCTTTAGTGTCGTTGCTGGGAGGTTTCTGTGTGCTTAGAAGTCGGAACCTAAAGGGTATCCTCAGTTCGGTTTTAACCCATGAAAACTTGTAGCCGATTGTGGCCCTGCTTAGATGACAAACATGAGGCCTAAGCCCTTCTGCCACCCGAAGCCCTTCTTACACGAACCGAACCCTAAACCCTAAACCCTAAACCCTAAACCCTAAACCCTAAACCCTAAACCCTAAACCCTAAACCCTAAACCCTAAACCCTAAACCCTAAACCCTAAACCCTAAACCCTAAACCCTAAACCCTAAACCCTAAACCCGTACCCATGAAGCTCCCAGTTGGGTTTTCTGCACCTCACGAACCCTAAGCCCTAAACTTGGGATGTTCCACTATATACTAACAGTCCTCGATAGGGCATACAAGAGGGGCGGGGGGGGGGGGTACTACGATCCTTATTAAGGACTGTTAGCGTAAGGGGAAACATCTCAACCCTAAACCCGAAAAAAACAAAATAACTTAATCCCACCTGGGCACTTCTACCTGGAAACCACATCCCGACGCAAGCCGCGCCACTTGGTTGGCCCCTGCGGCCCTCTAGAAGCTTATCCACAATAAGGTTCAGGGTTCGGGGTTCAGTGTTTAGAGCAGCCTAAACCCTAAACCCCAAACCCTAAGCCCTAAACCACGGCCTATACCTGGTCGTTCTGAGCCCCAACCGGCCACCTCGAAAGCGCAGCTCAGCGAGGTATTCGGTGCCCCCAACAGCGCATGACCGCAACAGCTTTACAGCGAGCTCCCTAAATAAGTAAAAGGCGGGGCCGGGTTTCAAATTTTGGGGTACCTTAATTATTTGGGGCCTTATGATACTACTTTGGACTACATCAGGGGTCCCTGATTTTCGTAAGCCCCCATATGCAAACATACACAAACAATGCAACAACTAAAGACGCTGACGAAAACAAGGTAATTACATAACATGGTTTGTCTGAGGCCAGCATGAGCAGGAACGACAACACAGACGTGGGGGGGTTTACGAAAACGAGGGACCTGCGAATATAAACACCCCAAATAGTAGGACTCCCTAGTTGAAGGTACTGCACCCCTAAACCCTAAACCCTAGACCCCATGTCAGGCCATGCTTCTAACTTGGGTAGTGGCATTTGGAGGGCACAAACGCCTGAACTTTTCGAGTTTGGCTTCAGGGTCTTCCATACAGCTTAAGGTTTAGGGTTTAGGGTTTAGAGTTTAGGGTTGCACATCTTCATGCCCAAGGGCGGACCATCCGCCTGCCATCACGCGGAGCAGTACCTCCTGGGCAGCTCACATGCTTCCCAGGCTCTCACTGCATCTCGGGTTTAGGGTTTAGGGGTTGGAGGGACAAGGAAGGAAAGGATTCAAATGTCCGTGCCTGCTCGAACCTGCCCGGAACCCCAAGCCCCAACTAAAGGGGTACATTGTGATGCCACATACCCCTGTCTAAGCCCCGGTCACGACAAGTTTCGCCATTCGTGCGTCAAGATAAGCAAGAGAAAGGTTTTCAGAAGTGACACAGGTTTTTTTGTCTGGAGCGTTCTGATCCCGAGCCTGTTGCTTCATGGAGTGCTCACCCGTCTGACTTGCAAGCCAACAGTGCGCCAAGGCACAAAGAAGCGACCCTAAACCCTAAACCCTAAACCCTAAACCCTAAACCCTAAACCCTAAACCCTAAACAAGTGCTTCCCGAAACTGGAAACTGGGAAGCCGGGGTCTGAAAAACCCGGAAACTTCTGAAATCCATCGGCACTTTGGCAAACCGATATGAAGTAGGGTCTATATTTCTTGTATCCCCAAAAAGGACACCCAGTATATACACTCACCAATAATAAACAGGAACCTTATATACACTCACCAATACCAGTAACATCTACCCTGCTTCATAATATGGTTTAGAGCTCACGGGTTCACAAAGGGCAGTAGGGAAAAGGCTTTCGGAGAAAGGAATCTGGAGGAACTCCTCAGAATTAACACATACTGGGGTAGGTTTGGGGGCCCTACAAAGGATTATGTGAGGGATAAAAAGGGTACTGCATATTAGAAAATGTGCTCGACCTACGCCTGAATACCTCAAGAGCAGCCCCAGTCGCGACACTGTAGATGACGAGGAAGATGTGTTCCAATATGCCCAGGAAGTGCCTTGTTGGCCCGGGTGTGGGATAGTGGTTCAGAGTCAAGTAGAATACTCGAGACCCAGGAGTAACCTAGGAATAAGAAAGGTACCTTTCTGGTTTAAAAAAAAAGGGCCTTAGAAGGGGACCTAGACCCCTCAAAAAAGGGAATAAGGCCCTTCTCTGGGTCCTAGTAATTGCGACGTAGAGATCCGGTACCAACTTGTATGGGGGTGAGAGTACAGGTATTCAGGCATCTAGCGGTTCAGAGCTCATAAGCATTCTTAGAGTATGGCCCGCATGTCTACTGCACCGTCTGCAGCGTCCTCTTTCGCCTCAAATCTTATTGACACCGGAGAGTATGTAGAGAAACCATCTACAACATACCAGAAGATCGTGAACACAGAGCACCCTGGTTTCGAGGCCCGATTGTTCCCCTCCTAGACCGTCCTCTTCTCTCCCTTCCACACTGGTCCTGTCGCTTGTGGGAACGCAGGGGCGAACTCCCTGCTTTCTGCCGAACCTACCCCTGACAAATCAGCATGTTGGGACCTCTAAGTTTCAAGAAGAATCGGAGGCTTGGGGTTTAGGGTCAGGGCTCGGCGCACCCTAATCTCCTTCTGCAGCAAATGCCGCGCCCTCGAACCCCAGACCCTTTTGTCTGAACCCCGAACCCAAAACCCCGGCACCCTCCATAAACCCATGGATGGGGCAACGCTGCAACCATGTGAGCCCATGCTCTGCATGTAGTTAAGACTCCCAGAAACAAAGCAGGGAGGCCGAGCAGTGGAGAAGATCTTTACCCTGAACCCTAAACCCTAAACCCTAAACCCTGAACCCTGAACCCTGAACCCTGAACCCTAAACCCTAAACCCTAAACCTCGGAAGTGTGCACTGCCCAGAACATCAGTGTGCTGAGTGGCAGATGCTCGGCATTCGCCTCGGCATCCAGTGAGAGTTGAGCCTCGGCTCCGATCGTGATCCTTGCCAGATACAAGGGTTGAGGGTTTAGGGTTTAGGGTTTAGGGTTTAGGGTTGCGGACGAAAAGCTTGCACGACCAACTTTGACAGCAGGGGGTTTGGGACTTAGGCTTGGCTGCACTCAGGAGGGTAGCAAAAAATTGAACTTTTAGCTGCCTGATAATCAGAAACCCAATAAACCCAAAAAAGGTAAGGATCTAAAGTTACGGCAAAGTACCACAAAGCCTGTGCCCATGACAGGGTTTGGGGTTTGGGGCTTGGGGTTTAGGATTACGACTCGTTGAACCCTAAACCCTAAACCCTAAACCCTAAACCCTAAACCCTAAACCCTAAGATTACTCGAGTGGAGGGGGGCCGGATGGCTTAGGGTTCAAGGAGTCCATCTTCGGCCAGCCTGAAACTCAATGCTTTTGTGACTTCTGACGTTAGGTTGTTTAGGGTTTAGGGTTCAGGGTTCAGGGTTTAGGGTTTAGGGGTTTAGGGTTGTTTTGGGTAGGACGCGCGCTCGTGCACCAAGCGCGTCGGTCCATGTATGTGAACGTTTTCAACTAAGAAGGTGCAAACCAAAACCTAGGTTTTAGGGTATTATGCAGGTTGTCGGCACTGGGCAAAAAGCAGCACCACTTTTGGGGTTTTTGAGCGCTTCGCCTCAGCGGGAGCGTTGTTTGAAAGAGGCGACACAGACAAGTTGCTGCAGGCAACGCTTCATATTGAATTTCTGGAGTTTGGCGCAGGGGTTTGGCGTCTTCCTTTGGCTCAAACCGCTTTTGTTTGGGCTTGCATATCTTGGGGCTTGCATGCTTTTTGCGTTTTCGGATTGCAAAGTTCTGCTAATGAGTACAGCTTCGTTTTTGTGAGAACTGAGGAGTCTGAGGTTGCAATGCTTAGGGGCTTGGGTGTACTGTCGGAGAGTCTAGGCTTAGGAAGGCTTGCCTTTCAAAAGAAACCTCCAGAAGCGCGAGAGCGCGTCCTACCTTGTTTGGGGGTTAGGGCTGAGGGTCTAAGACCTGCTTTAAGGCTCCAGGCTTGAGCCTGCTGACTCAAGGAACCCTAAACTCTAAGGCTTTAGAGTTTTGTGTTGAGACATTGGAGGTTACCTGCACAGCTGTGGCAACGGGGCCGAGCCTCCGGCTCTCCAAAACCAAGGGTGCTTCAGGGTTTAGGGTTTAGGGAGGCAATAATCAGCATAAACCAACAACAGCAAGCCTGTCAACCTGTGCCGACTGCGAGGGTGCGTCAAGCCTAGAACAAACCTCAAGTCCCGCCAGGACCCTAAACCCTAAAAACCCTAAAGCACCAAAACCCCTAAACCCCAAACCCTATCTCGCTTGCAAATTTGGTCCTAAAGCACCAAAACCCCTAAACCCCAAACCCTATCTCGCTTGCAAATTTGGTCCTAGATCAGCAGAAACCAAGTCCCCAAGCCTGAGCCCTAAACAAGGAACATAGCTCAGGTGCTCAAAACACTCCATAAAACCCTTTTGAACCAAGACGCTGACTCAAAAAGCTGCACCCTAAACCCTAAACCCTAAACCCTAAACCCTAAACCCTAAACCCTAAACCCTAAACCCTAGACCCTAGACCCTAGACCCTAGACCCCAGACCCCAGACCCTAATCCCTAGACCCTACATGGCGTGCACTCAATGAAATGCGCTCCAGGGGTCAAGTTGATCAGGATGATGAATCCGGCCATGGTTTCGAACCACTGAGAGGTGACAATGTCTCGAGTTTTCCTAGGAGGTCGGTCATCCCTAAATCCTCAACCCTAAACCCCAAACCCTAAACCCTAAACCCCAAACCCTAAACCCTAAACCCTAAACCCCAAACCCCAAACCCTAAACCCTAAACCCTGAGCCCTAAACCCTAAACCCTATATAGACTGAGGGTTGAGACCTTAGGCGTTTTAGCCAGGGGCATGTAGGGTTGTCTTCAACGTCTTCGGAGTCTCATCCCCGAATACGACGTGCATGAACCCCACACCTTAAAACGGGTTTAGGGTTTAGGGTTTAGGGCTAAGGGTTTAGAGTTTAGGGTTTAGGGCTTCGGCTCTTTCACTCGCACAAGGCAGGCAAGGATTCGGTCGGAAGGTTCTCACTATGACAATCTGCAAGATTCCCACTCAATTGCAGCTCAGGGTTTAGGGTGTAGGGTTTAGGGTTTAGGGTTTAGGGTTTAGGGTTTGACTTTGCAACAACCAAAACTGTTGCTGGGCTTGAGATACTGGTACTCCTAGCGACCCAGGGTATTCCCCAAACGCTCCATACCAAAAGCCCTCGAAAAGCCCCAGTCAAGGAATATGGGCCCTTACAGCCGCTACCTAACACCGCCCGTGGCTCCTTATGAAGTGCAGGCCAGCAGAACAACCTTGTCGTTGGCGCTTGCTGCGGCTGTACGTGCCGGACCAGGTGCAAGGCACATTCTACTCGAAAAGTCTTATTCCCATTCTTAGGGACTTTATTGCGATAAGATGACCTTATCACAGCTTGTGCTTCTCTTGTGGTTTTCTTGCTATTGTTGCTACCCCTAAACCCTAAACCCTAAACCCTAAACCCTAGACCCTAAACCCTAAACCCTAAACCCTACACACGACTCTTCGGCACCAAGCATCTGCCTTAGCCAGCTCCAGCCGCCCAGCGGGACGCGGGGGATGGGGAGGGTGGGCTGGGGCATGAGCTCCATAATCCTTACTTTTTGCTTTTAGGGTTGAGGGTTTAGGGTTTAGGGTTTAATTAGGGTTTAGGGATTAAACTTACTTCTTCAATAGCCAAGGAAGAAAGCAGTTCAGACTTTCTTATTCCTACAGAATAAGGAAGCCCCAAAAGTTTAAAGCTCTTCTCTTTGCCAAGTAAGAATCAGCTTGGAAACGGGCCCCTTCCCCACGACGTTGTTGGAGGAGGGCAGCTGGGGGGCCTTTCGCAAGAAGGACACTGCATTGAGGCGCAGGAACTTGCCCCTCTCATCCATGTCCTTACTGGCCCAAAACCCAAGGAAATAAAAGTTGAACCTTTCAGAATAAACTACCTTAATAAGAAGCCCCAAAAAGTTGAAAAGTTGGGTTTTGAGCCAGGAAGTGTCATCCATCTTGATGGACTCCAGCTCTTGCGGTATGGGCTCGTTCAGCTCGCTGTTCCCGCTGGTGGCGCTGCAAGCAGAAACCCGCCCAGATCGCAGGGAGAGAGGGATGCTCGCCTCCCAGCGCACCTCTACTCCCCTCTTAGAACCTTCATAAAAATAGTATTTGTTAATATCCTCTTGGGTTTTATATACACAAATACTGGAAAAAATGAAAATAGTATGTGTTCAATATCCTCTTGGGTTTTATATACACAAAACTAAAAAAAAACAATTCCCAAGGGGGATATAGGCACAGGCAGGCTGGACTTGGATTCCTTGCGAGTTGGGCTGCTGGTAGCTGAAGCGTCGAGGAGGAGGAGAGCATCCGCCTCGTCCAAGAGCTGAGTCACTGCCGCCTGCCATTCCTGCTACACTCCCCTTTAGAACCTTAATAAAATAGTAGTTTTTAATATCCTCTTGGGCCTTATATAAACAAGAATATAAAAGAATTCCCAAAGGGGGATATAGATTCCTGATGCTGGGAAGCCAATAGCTGCATTCCCGCCAGGGATGCCTTCTGCTGCTGCTGCACGACCTCCAGCTTGCGAAGGGCCTCCTGGACCTCCTCCACAGGAGACTCCATGGCCGACATAGCACAACTCCCCAGCTTTCTTTCTTCCAAAAGAGAAGATCTTAAGGAGTTTTAGCCCCTAAGGTGGCAGAGTTCCCTTGGGTGAGGGGCTTTGAAGCTTGGGGACTGCCTATCCTTCTTACTGCTGACTTTCTCAAGCTCTCCCCTGCAACAACGACAGCAGAGCAGGTGAGCGACCCTCTCATGCTCGGAACCCGGCTTCGGGATGCGAACTCTTGCTACACCCTAAACCCTAAACCCTAAACCCTAAACCCTAAACCCTAAACCCTAAAACCCTAAAACCCTAAACCCTAAAACCCTAAAACCCTAAAACCCTCAACCCTAAACCCTAAAACCCTAAAACCCTAAAACCCTAAAACCCTAAAACCCTAAACCCTAAAACCCTAAAACCCTAAACCCTAAACCCGAAACCCTAAACCCTAAACCCTAAACCCTAAACCCTATACTCTCACGCGCCACGCTCAAACTTACGGTCACTTCTCGGGGCTCCCAGTTTCTATAGGGGTCGGTTCCCTTAAACAAGCATGGTGCGTTTTGGGGTTCCTTTGAATATGAACTACGAATTGCTTAAGAACCCCCCCCCCCCCCCCCCCGGCAAAAAAGAAGAAGACATCTTCCCTCTGAGGGGAATCTAGGCGTTATTTCCTTATGTTTTGTGGAGTTCTTATAAAGCAGTGAAAGGGCTACGGACCAAACGGGTTCTGTAAGGGGACAACTCTTCAAGCGAACGTCTCCCAGCGTGCGCGGGCTGCTACTGCCCCACCCCGTCTGGAAACTGCTTCATGACTTGCCAGAGAAAACCCTAAACCCTAAACCCTAAATCCTCAACCTAAGTTAAGTCATGTTCGTGATGTTCCTCAAGTCATCATCAAGGACCGTTTACTGTAAGTTTTACTCGGGAGGATCCGAACATGGCATGTATATATATATATATATATATCTATCTATGTACATTCATTCCTGGATACAAAATTCTTATATAGAGAGGGTTTAGGCTTTAGGGTTTAGAGTTTAGGGCTTAGTTGGGGAGTCTTGCTCAACTACAGATATCCGAATTCTGGCCTACCCGCCTGGAGGACATCAAGCTCGGACAATGCCTCCACTGGCATCGAGTTCCTGCCTGAAGCTGTAGGGTTTAGGGTTTAGGGTCTAGTGTTTAGGTGTAGGGTTTAGGGTTTAAGGCTTAAGGGCTTCGAGGGTTCAAAGCTTGGCTCATGCAGCTGAAGTTTCGAGCAGATTGGGTTGATCCCCAGAGGGCCTCAGGGGTCAGAGCTTCCCCTAAACCTTTGCTGCGAACAACTACCAGGAGAAAAACCCTAAATAACCAAAAGCCTAAACCCTAAACCCTAAATCCTAAACCGCCCTCATGAATGGGTTTAGGGTTTTAGGGTTTAGGGTTTAGGGTTTAGGGTTAGGGTTTAGGGTTTAGGGTTTAGGGTTTAGGGTTTAGGGTTTAGGGTTTAGGGTTTAGGGTCTAGGGTCTCGGGTTTAGGGTTTAGGGTTTAGGGCTTTGTGCAAGCTGCTGCGAGGTTCATGGCTCCTTATATGGAGGGTGAGATGCGGAGTAACTGTGGTGATGACCCAATTTTGGGGACCTTGGCAACCCTGCTTAGAAGTACCCATCAAGCTTCAAGTGGCAACAGCAATCTTGCTCCCTCCAAAACCTTTGCGACTCTCGAGCTGATATGGGGTTACCCAAAACAGGAGTACACTTGCCCAGTGAGTTTAGGGTTTAGGGTTTAGGGTTTAGGGTTTAGGGTTTAGGGACGTGCCCACATCCCCTACACATCCCAGGTCTCATAGCCGCGGGCCTGAGCGCGAGACAGTGACGACTGGGCTGTGGCCTAGGGTTTAGGGTTTAGGGTTTAGGGTTTAGGGTTTAGGGTTTAGGGTTTAGGGTTTAGGGTTTAGGGTTTATAGGGTATAGGGTTTAGGGTTAGGGTTTAGGGTTAACACAGGATTCAGTTGGGTGTGCAGGGGCTAGCGTCTAGAGTTCAAGAGCTTCGGGTTGGTCCCCCACCCCCCCACCCCCCCCAGATGCAACAAAAGCGTAGGTTGGGAAAACCCAACTGTGCAACCATCTAAACCCTATCTCCCAGAATGCTCACAGAACAGGGTAGGTAGTCATGGGGCCTATAAATTTGGGAGTTCAAGGAACTAAACCTAACAGTGCGCACATCCAACAGCTGAGTCCTCCTATGAGCAAGCTCGTTCGGAGGTTCATGGGTACTTGCAAGCGGGGTCATGAATACCCTACGCGAGGATATAGCCAATGTAGAGGTACCCTAGTTATCACCCCCAAGTAACATCGGCTCCTCATTAGCAAACATACCTGTGCCGGTTGCCGCAACAAGCCCCTGCCCCCGCAACATTTCTGATGCACAGTTTCTGCCTCGCCCTGCTGCTTCTGTTTCTGATTCGCAGGATGGCTTTTGATTTGCTCAGTGATCTTGATTTGGGCCTGAAATCAGTGACCGCAGCAGCCCGCCAGTCCCCTACTCGTGACCGGGAGACTCCAGACCCTCCAGTCCCTTCGTAGGGGATAGGATTTGGGGACCCTTTGGGGGATATGGACCCTCTCAACAAGGTCCCTGTTTTAAGAGAGCCAGAAGAGGGTTGAGAAGGGCTCCTGTTAAGGGTCCCTCTAGCGCTACCTAGGACCGCACTCTTTGACAGGAGGACTAGAGTGACTCGAGCAAGCCATGCAAACTTTCGGCCCACCGTTGAGGAATGACACTATACGAAAACCGAAAACCCTGCACCCTGAATCCCCCTAAACCCTAAACCCTACACCCTAAACCCTAAACCGATAGGGCCTGTAACGGCCATCTCACGCGCCATCATCAGCCCGAATCCACTGAGGCCCCCTGTCACAATGGCGCCACCTGCCATGAGCTGCTAGGGGCTTTAGGATATAGGGTTTAGGTGTAAGGCAGAAGGCCCCCTCAACCCGCACAAGGCGTTTTCGTGATGGGGGGGAAGGGCTTCGGGCAATCCTCATGCTAAGCCCCTGCCCTAAAACAGGCCTCGCCTGCCACTTGCCAGATCGGAAGCAGAAATATGCGACCAGTCTCGGTAGTCTGGGTCGACATGTACAAGGTAGGAAGCAGATAAAGGGATGAATTTGCGAACGTTGTATATACTCTCTTACACTCTCAGGCGAGAAGAAAAAGGCACAGGGCGTGGCTAACTTCCTGAAATAAAGATGCAACTACTAGCTGATGTGAAAACCTTTGACCTCTGCACAAGCTTCACGACTCCCGTCAAGTGAAGGTAGCCCATATTATCTTTGCAAGGACCTCCGTAGGCTTAGAGGTTATCATCCCTGGATGCAAGCCGAACTTATCCAGTGCCTTTCTGAGCCATGGTGCGTGAGTGGCACCCGAGATACAAGTTGTCTAATGTTCACAGCTGCAAAAAGCAACCAGAATGCTTTCAAGGTACAGCTTGGCATGCTTTGGCCGGGCGATCTTGGCGCTTGATAAGTACTGCAAAGATCAACTCAGCTTCGTATCAGGTAATGTCGACTTCCCTGTGGACGTGAAATGCTGCGATCAAGCAAGATTCACTGCAGCGATGCGGCGAAATCCTGACGTTTGTGGAGTACGTCGGCTACAAGTTGAACAAATACTAAGAAGTGGAGACAGGCACCGGTTAGGTCACTACGATTATCGCTGCAAATGCCATTGTTACTATTACAAGGTTCTTAGATTTGCTGTGATGATGATCGTCACCGTCATTGCATATTTTCGTTCGTGCCAGTATACTACCTCTACCTGCACCATGACAAGTCCTGCTTTCAATGTAATGATGATAACACTTCATGTTTTGCTGTTGATGACCCACTGCGCAACTCTCGCGCAAAGGGATGTTGGTTTTTGTTGTTTCACAATCGGACGTACGCTGGGCTAGCTTTACAAACCCTTCGAAGAATACTCCTGCGTACGGGCACTTGCAAACCAAATAAGGGAAAATATGAACCCAAACCCAACGGATCACCTAATTAGCTATGAGCAGGTGTTGCATACGTGAAGAAGGGGGTGGAGGCGTTCGAACACGCGCTCCGGTCCCTTGGTTCTCGGGTTCCCCTACTACCCCCCTCTATACTACCCCCCCCCCCCCCCCCTAGGTTCCCCCCATAATTAAGGCTATTTAGGGATAGTTAAGCTTAATTAAGGTTATTTGCGGGGGGAACCTAGGGGGGGAGTATAGAGGGGGGTAGTAAGGGAACCCATGGTTGGTGGCTTAGGGTTTAGGGTTTAGGGTTTCGTGCTCAGAGTTCACAAGAGACCATCGTCTAGAGTACGGCCATGGTTCCACTTGCTTCCGGGGGTTTAGGATCAGAGTCGAATGCCCTAAACCCTAAACCCTAAACCCTAAACCCTAAACCCTAAACCCTAAACCCTGAACCCTGACGCCTGAACCCTAAACCCTAACACCCCAAACCCTGAACCACCAAGTGCCCTCACCAGTTCTTCTGAGCCCAACTTCCTAAAATGCACATCCCAAGCTCTGCAGAAGGGAACAGCCTGGCCAACCTGAAGTAACGCAGATGGACCGGACCCTAAACCCTAAACCCTAAACCCTAAACCCTAAACCCTAAACCCTAAACCCTAAACCCTAAACCCTAAACCCTAAACCCGCACCCCCTAAACCCTAAACCCGCACCCCCTAAACCCTAAACTGATCCTCAACCCAAAACCCAAAACCCTGACCCTAAGCTCATCTTCAACCCTAAACCCTAAACCCTAAGACCTAAGCCCTAAGCCCTACGCCCTAAGCCCTAAACCCTAAGCTTGTTTCTCCGGCCGCCGGCTCTCCGACAGTGTCCTCTGGCCGCAACAACTCAAAGTCCACCCCAAAGCACCTGCCCAAGGTCATGAGGTTTAGGTTTAGGGTTTAGGGTTTAGGGTTTAGGGTTTAGGGTTTGGGGCTTAGAGTTTAGGGTTTAGGGTTTGGGGTTTAGGGTTTGGGGTTTAGGGTTTGTAGGG